TTAGTTAATTGGATCTAATGTAATTTACGTAGGAAGATGTTGCAGTACTCCCTTACTGTTAAATTCATGCACAAATCTATAAACAGTAAGGTGATATGAACTCAGAATGGCAGAATAGCAGAGTTGAAACCAGTAATGAGTTTTATTTCCTAATAAACGGAATTTTTAGTCTTATTTTGTGCTTGGCCTCTTTTCTTGACCTCATAACAGGTGTTCAAGCAGATAAATGACTTAGACAATTTTGAAACCAATAATAGCATTTTAACCATTTGGCGCCTTAATTAGCCTTCTGTCGTCTCTTGATTACCTATGTATTTTTCGTTATCATAATCATTCTTCACTATTCATCATTCATTCACTCGTCCAATCGCTCACCCACTCATTCACTCATTCATTGAAATGTTCGTTTGATTCATGATCTTCAATTACTTGATCATTATTTTTCTGATTCACTCATTAGTTTGGCGTCTAATTATTTTTCCACCTATTCATGCATTCCCTTCTACCTTTCCATCGTTATATCACCAACACATTAATTAATGAATTCACTTCCACGGTAGCTCACTTGTTAGATCATTTGATTAGTGGATACGCACATTACCTCACAGAGTAAATATGAATTTAACATTTGCCAGGAAACGGTTTCATCACTTTCATCTTTTATCTCTCATCTACCGACATCTATTTTTTTTTCATGTTTCAGAGTGCATCATACATCAGCATACATCATTAGCACAACTCAGTACTAATAAATACTGTGGTTAAATAGGTTGACGTTCTAGAAAACAGTGTAACCTGTAATAAATGCCTCCGTTCATAACTCCTGACACTCATCAGAAGCAGATTTATGCGTTCTTGCAGCTGCTGCTTGCTGATGTACACGTACCATGAGCATGGGATATTGGAAAATGAAAGAAAATGAGAAATACCTTGTGGTAAACATCTAATGTCTGAAAGTTGAGGGTTTTGACAATTGCTTCTACTATTCTTATATCAGTTTTCAAGTTTTTGAAGCGAAAATGTAGAACTACTATTGGAAACAATAATTCAACGTGGATATGTTCGATAAAACTACACACTGAAAA